AAACAAGCAAGCCACTCCTTCTCTCTCTTTTGCAGCCTACAAAGACTTGGTTTTGCTTTTAGAAATGTGGTTTATTGCACCCTTGAGCCATAAATATTGAGGTTCTGTACTGAGTTACAAGCTGGCTGGGGTAGACTGAGCGCCAAGGCAGGCAAAGTCCCTGGCTCGGCTCCCTTGATGACCTTGTCACTCACCTGCCACCCTCCTCTGACAGCAGTAAGTAATTCTGCTAATTCTGCTGCCTGGGATCTACTGAAGGAGGACAGGCAGCCTCGCTAAGCTTTTCTTTAAGGATGTGCTATCAGTGGGGACCAGCTGTTTCAGATGCTAATGGTACTGAGCAGCGCAGTTCTGCGCGTTCAAAGCCAGCTGTAATCCTTGTTGTTTATTTACGTTGCATCAGGGATCGGAGGCCCCTTCTCCCAAACTATGTTGACAGACCTTGTAGGCCAAAGAGAAGAGCAACCTAATTGTGTTTGCCTGTGGCTTTTGCCATAACGTGAGTGGTTACTGCTAGTCACCCTGTGAGTAGTACCTCTGGTTCCAGAGATCTGCCGGGTACAGCCGCTCGTTAGCACAGGGCAGAGTGTCACAGCCTGACCCTGGCACGGGCGTTTGATTTCTAACCTTACCTTCTGGTCACTGGATGCAGGCAAGTTACCTCCGCATGGCACAGACCTCATTTCTGCATCTAAATAAACAAACTCTCACTGAAAGCCGGGGTGGCAAAATAAAGAATCCGGTTCGGGCCTTATGTGGAAATGATGATAAATTTAGATCCAGAAGATCTCGTCAGGCTGAGCTATTAACTGGCAGCACAGGCAGCAGTATCCTAAAATGTGTCTCTGCCAAGAGAGATCACAAGTAAAGGCATTCAGGCCTGAAGGCAAAGTGATCTCTAAGGAATAATAAGGGCGCTAGACCCACAGCTTTTAAAATCAGGTTCTGCTCCTACAGTAGGTGAAATGCTGTGTGCTACCTGCATGTGAGGATGAGCTCTTGGGCTGGCAGAGAAATGCAGGGGACAGTCAAACACTAAAACCTCCCCAAAAGCCTGAAGTTCGGGGGAACAGTAAACCCAGCATTTAACTTATAAATCTGATTCCAATACTTTAAACTTACAGTAAGCAGGCTTAGAGCAAGCAAATAGATTCAAGCTGCATTGAGGAAGACGACTTTGGCCAGATCATAGAATCGTAGAATATCGTGTTGGAAGGGACCTCAAGGATGAAATTTTATTTATATGAACTGGTTCAACCATTCCTAGCAATAAAGATTGATTTTTTTTTATTTTTTTTTTTTTTTTTTCCCACATCTTCATTACAGACGGTGGAAAATATTTAGCCTACAGAGCATTAGTCTAGTGGGCTTTCATAAAGGCATGGTTGCTAGTTCACTACTGGTAAACTCAGCCCTGCTGTGTCAGCCCAGCCAGGGTAGGCTTGGGCGGCTGCAGCAGCACCGGGCAATGCCCCTGAGCTCAGCCTAAGCGCAGGAAGGTTAAACTGAAATCAGGCTGCGTTGCATTAGCCACCAGCTGAGAGCACGTGCCTAGCCTGTCCCCTCAGCTTAGCTGGATCACCGTGGCTTGTTACAGAAATAACTCGAACCAGTGCCCGAGCCCCATGGCTCTGCAGCTTCAAACAAAAGCATCTCCGGGTGGAAGGGGAGGGTGGTGGCTCTGCGCCTTGTGCCTCCTGCCAAACTCGGTCACACCACGCGGGTCAATCTGAGCAAGGGGAGAGAGGTGACAGGGTGCAAGGACAGCTTCAAGCCCGACTGGAACGGTCCCTGCGAGGGTTCAGGACAGCCAAGGCTGTCCCCAGCTGTCAGGACAGGCCCAAAAGCTCCCGCAGCCCCAGGATGTGACCCCCCACACCTTCATCAGGGTCGTGCCGGTTAGAGGAACGGAACAGAAAGCTTTCTCTATTTTGGGCCCTACAAAGTTTCTTCCTGTAGGATGAGTCAGTGGTGGGAGCTGCAGCCGACACTGTTGTTTCTGCACTCTGTGGGACTCTTGTCGAAATATTTAGATTAGTGAGGATCACCAACACGCAAGGGAGGTTCTCCCCTTTCTCTGTGAATAGGTGGGACCCAGTTAACCCATAAAAAGAATAAGAGGGTGAAATAGGAGTGATCCACCGACTCAAAATCTTCCTTTTCCCTCCCTGTGTGTGTAACAAAGAAGAAGGAGGGGAAGATATCCAGAGGTGCGTAACAAAAGAAGAAGGGAGGGGAAGATGTCCAGAAATGGCCTTTATACCTAGATCCATTGGGGATTTAGTGGGGCACCTAAATCAGTTAGTTCCTCTGTGCCAGAGTGTGCAGAGTGCATGCTCCTCAAAGCCCTGGCTGCCCACGAAAGGACCCTGACACCCAGCTGAAAAGCACGGTGAGGCTGGACCCACACCTGTGCCACCAGGATGCTGGCAGTGGGGCTGGGGAGGATAAAGAGGAGGGACCTGCGTCCCAGGCTCCACGGGCGCAGGTCGCCCTCAGAGGGGAGCAGTTCACCTCCACTCTTGCCTCCTCCAAAGAGTGATTGTGCATCACCTCCATTAGGAGCTTACGGCCAGATCCTGCCCTCCCCACTGGCTCCTTAGATGAGTCACCATTGGGGACAGGTCCCTACAGTTTAGCCGCGGCAGTGCTGGATGCTGCAGGCAAGCCCACTGACTCCATCCCGTGGGTTTCACGCGCCCGCAGCGCACCAGTTACTGAGTTAGTGAGTACCTAGGCTGACTTAGGGTTGTGAAAGTGCTGCCCAGCGTGCCAGGGGTTGAGCAAGCCAAGCAGCAGCAGAAGCTGCTGGGAAAACAAAGCTGTGTCATGGTTCTTGGCCGGCTGGTGGCTGGAGCACAGCCGAGGACAGGTACCGGAGCGGTTGGGGTACGGGGTGGGCAGCGGCTCCTCATGGGAGCTACCAGCAGTTGGGTGCCTGGGCTTGCTTCCCTGGCACAGCGAGGGTCACAGCAGAGCTGAGGCACACCAGCTCTCACGGGAGAAGGTAACCAGCAGCCGCTGTAAAGAGATCCGGCTGAAAATTCAAAGAAGAAAAAAAGAATAAAATTGGGTTGCATTGCTTACAGCAACAGAAGGTTTTCTTTTGGCAGTTTTCATGGTTGTAAAATACATCCTTTGTTGTTAAGAGTCATAATGCCAAGCTGAAATTTGCTGGGCTTCCCTTTACCCCGAACTCTTCCCATTTCTGCCGTGTGCATGGAGTCTGGGGTGGCTGTTGATGCGGGAGATACCATTTCTAAACTGAAAAGCTTAAATCCAAGATTTTGAGTGATTTATGCCTTGCTTCAAGCTCTCGCGGTTTCTTCAAATTGTGCTAGATTTTTTTTTTTTTTTTTTTTTTAATTCTTTGCCATTTGAGGAGCTACCGTTTCCCCCAGGTCAGGCCTGTCTCTCGGCTGCGCACCCGGCAGCGACGGCTGCTAGAGCAGGGCAAGTTCCTGGCGTGAGGCTTGGTGGCTTGCAGACCCCGCTGCCACCGGCGTGGGTGCGAGTCCCCGGGGTTGGGGGGTGTGGGGGGGATCCAGGCTGCCCCCCCGGGGAACGCTCTGAGCCCCAGCCTGCTGGAGGGACCTGCTGCGCCGGGATGGGGGGAGCTGACGGCTCCACTGTCGGCGGTGCTGGTGTGGTGGGAGGCAGGTCCTGAGCTGTGGGGAGGCTGGGTGGCTCTGCCGGGCTGCCCCGGCTCAGTGGGACCCTGGGGACCAGCCCTGCTGCGGGTGGCTGGGACAGGGACCAGTAACCCCAGGGTGGGGGCGGGCAGCTCTTTTGGCAGCCCCACCCAGGGCACTCGGCCAGCCCCTCGCCTCTCTGCACCCTGGGGGGACGTGCCCCCACAGTCCCCTGCTACTGGCTCCCTGCCCTTCCCTCGTCCTGTCTTGTGTCCCCCTGGGCAGATCCTACCTGTTGCTCCTCATCCCATTCTTCTACCTAGTTCTCACCCAGTGCTTATAAAAAACAAACCTATTCCCCCTTGGCTGTCATCTTCTTGAAAGAGGCAAGTTTTTCCACCTCCTCCCATGAAAGAAGCCCTTGGCTCTTGAACACTGGTGGTCAGAGGGCTCTCCGGCACCCGAATGAGATTCTGCTAGAGCATCGTACCATTTGTGGCATTAGTACTTCCCTATCACTGCTGGAAATACCACAGTATTTTGGATTGTCTTTGCCTTTTTTGACTCCACGCTGCGGTGATGGTTCGCAGTCATTCTGTGATTGCTGAGTGTGCCCTGATGTTTCCTCTCATTTCCAGCTCTCAACCACCAGTTTTTAGAAATGAGTCTGACCATAAATCTTAAAGCTCATGACCTTGAACTTTGCTCTGTGAAAAGCAAAAAATGAGAAGTGAAACTGAGCAGTGTTGTATTGCTCTCCTAACCGAGTGAAACAAAGAAGGTCACTTCAAGGAATAGCTTTGCATGTTGCTCAAGAGATTTCCAGATAAGGTAGAAAAAATTACCCCATGAAGTCTCTTTACACGTCATGATGGAGAACCTGTCCTTGCAGAAAAGCAGCAGACAAATGTCTCCCCTTAATTTTCTGCAACTAGAGCAAGAAATAAAACAAAGAAAAAAAGTAAAAAACCCCAAACCAAAAAGAGATGTCCATTGGCGTTCTCCTAAATAAATTCATTTCAAAGCTGTATCTGTCTAACCTTATGGGGATTTCCTTTACCTGTTTTTCTCTTGAGCTGTCGTAACCAGAACAAGTAGATAAAAACCTGCCATGCTTGCAGCAGCTTCCTTCCCTTTTCTAAACACCAGCTAAACCGGTTACTTCTATGTGGTGGAAAGGAGTTAGTTCATTAAGTTTACACACAGATTTTAGCCGATAATGTTCTCTCCCTGGGGAAGGATTTCTGAAGGGTTTTCTGGTCAGTCTAATCAAGAGGTAGAGCTGAAAAAAAAAAGCACAAGATAATTGAGTTTCTTTCTTTCATTTTCCAGATTTTGATGATCACAATTTCCTTTTACAGGAAAGCAAAAAAAAAAAAATAAAAAAAATAAAAAAATGGCTACAACGGCAGCAAATAGCCAAAGACAAACGATAGGTTGCGAGGAATACAGTCTGTACAGTAGCTTGAGCGAAGAGGAGCTTGTAAAGATGGCCATCCAGCAGAGCCTGGAAGAGGAGCCCGCGGGTCAGCCAGCTGCCCAGAGCCACCAGAAGTCGCTGGTGGTGGGTCCCGGCGAGGCGGCCACCCCCAGCCCCGCCGGCAGCCACAACCCACCCTACCACATCTACCCCTGGCAACGGTGAGTAAGCGCCCGCCTGAGCTCCACCGGCCCAACAAACACCCTGCCCGGGAAGAGAAAAAAAGCTTCTCCTCTCAAAACACGTGCTTTCTAATTAGCTTTACTGAGCGGCTGCTCCGCGAGTCTGTCGTTAATTTGAAAGCCAGAGCCTGCTGTAAATCCAATGAGCCCAACGTTCTCACAGCGAAATGAGAATTTGCTTGATGTTGTCTGTTTTAAGCAACCAATAAAATAAGAATGGGGACACTGCTACAAGCTTTCCTGAACGACAGAAGCCCTGCCGAAGGCAGAGGCTCCTTTCCCCCACGGGGGCACACTATGCTGAGCTTAGGTTTCTCCAGAGAGGGAGCACAGCCTCTCTGGAGGAAAAAAGCCCAAAATAGGTATAGAAAACTTTTAGGTACTTCGGTCTTTAACGGATGTAGTTATCTCAGATCAAAGTCTGACCTCAAGCACACCGCTGAGCCCAGAGCAGCCCCAGGCACCAAAGCATGGTGGCATCCCCCTCCCCTCGATGCTGGGCTGTGGGTTAGAGACCTGCTGACAGTTTCAAACCCAGACTTTGTTCTCCTTTCGATTTGCAAAAGGCAGAGATTTCTGAAGCGGGGAGGGAAAGAGGTTACAAAGTCACCCCAAAACCAAGGGAAAATATCCTTTTAAACTATTTTTTTTTTTTTTTTTTAAGAAGCTGGGAGTAACTGAAGTTTTGTTCCTTCTTCTTTCTCATAACCCCACCATCCTCTGATGCCTCACACATTACCGCCTGTGATTGTTTGGTTTCTGAGGCTGGGAAACTGGGGATAATTTGATAAGTGCTGAGCGTGTTTCACAGCTGCGGAATCAGGATGCTGTGCAGCCAGCGGTCCTGTGCCCACCAAAGGTTGTGGTTTCTCGGCGTTGTTACCGTGCACTTGTGCTGCCAGTTCTGCCGTGGGGACCCATTTTTGGGGCGGGGGGAGAGGTGAAGAATAAGGGCTTCCCTGACCATTTGGTCCTGTCCTCCTTGGGGGTCCTTTGACACCTGCTATTTTGGCAAGAGGCAGCATCTGCAGTTCTGTGCATTAACCTGTCCTGCCTTTGCCTCAGCCCGGCAGCTTTTGACTCCCACTGGGGGTAAAATCTTTGCAGCCTGTAGCTCCAGATCTGTAGCATTGCTGAATCCTTCTGCCGCCCGGGGAGAGCCGAGATGGAAACAGAGCTGGCACCCAGGGGCCCCGGGTCCTCCTCCGCCCCCCGCCTCCAACCTGCTCGCGTGGCACTTCGGAGGTGATGAATGTCACCCCACCTCGCCTCATGCCTGCTTCCTGTGCGGTGGTGGTAGGGTTAACCTCAGTCTTGTCTTATATGGTCATTTGAATCCCCTGACGCTTCCTCAGAGGGCCAAAAATAATCTCGAGCCGAGCGAGCAGCTGAATCCAGCACCGAGCAAGCCGTGGCCATCTGCTTTTATTCCGAGCCCTGACCGGCAGGCTTTCTTGCTCCGTCTCTGTGGATGTGTGTCTCTGTTTCTGCCTCAACATGACCTGTTTCTCCTATTCGGAGTATTTCTCTTTATTTCATTCATGTCATCGCCACTCCAGATTGGCGGCCCAGCCGAGAGGCCGTGCTCAGCCGTCCAGCTCGGGGGCAGCCTGGGGGGTCAGGCGAAGGTACGACGGCAGCCTGTTCAGCACGTCCCAGCCCGTGTAAGTGACTCTCTCTCCCCCTCTCCCGTTTTCCCCCTGCAGTCAAAACCAAGCCTTGCTACCCACCCGCCCCCCTGAGCCAGCCCTGCTGGGTGGCAGTGGTGTCTTTTGGGGGGGAAATGGTGGTGTTTGTCTGGAGGAGGTCTTGCTGATACCTGCACCGCACCCTCGCTGTCTTCCCGCTCTTCCTTCTGACCTCCCGGCTGCCCTGGACCGTACCCCAGCTCTTGCAGGTTGACTGACCTCAAGCATCCCTCGTTCTCTTCTCCCCCTTCATCCCCCTCCATCCCTCCAGTGCATGTGTCCTGGGGACTCCAGGTCATTCGGTAGCTCTGAAGTGACAAGGACAGCAGGGAAGGGATGCCTGTACTGGTTTATTTATACAGGCTGGCTCCTGTAGCAACACGGTAGAGGAGGCAGGCAGGTGCTGATAGTAACTGCATTGGTATTAAGTTCATGGTTCAAAGGTGGCGAAGAGTGGGGAAAACAAACATTTTATCATAGTATATAAACAGGGAAGGGGGGGGGGGGGGGGGGGAAGTCAAGTCCTTCGAAGTAAATGTTTTATAAATGCTCCCGAGATGCTGTGCCTGTTCCCAGCAACGCCTGCACTGTCCTGCCACACCAAGGAGGGCTGCTGGGGAGCCACACCACATCTTTCCTGCCCAAGGAGGAAACCAGCTTGACTGACTTTGATCCTCCTGGCCACATTTTGCTGTTGGCAGAGACCGTAAATAAGCTTAGGTGAACACAGTCGTGGATGAGGAAAGAAAGGCAAGGGAAGGGCCTGAGCTCTGCCCCAGTACCTGTGTGTAGTGGAGATGTCTGGACCATGATGGGTTTATTACAGCTCTCTGGGGGGCACAGTGGATGCAACACCTGCCTTTAGCTATCATGAAGAGAGAAAAGTGTTGTAGGCAGAACTTCTCTGTGTCCTGCAGAAAACTCTTTCCTACCCTCTTTATCTACCCAGTGCAAATCCACTTTGTTCTATCTGTCTCGCAAGTCCCTCCCTGGATGCATGGTTGCAGTGACTACCCCTCCACCACTCTTCTTCCTTTCATCCCTCACCTAGCTCTACAGTTTCCCCTCACCTCACTCTACCCTGCCTGATCCAGGCTCTGTCCCTGGTTTTCCACCGACATTGCCCTCCCCGACGTTGTGAAAACCTCTTTCTGCTGAAACATGAAGCCTCCCTCATCCCTGTCACCTACCAGCTCCCCTTGGCACCTTGAAATCACCTCCCCTCATGAAGTGCTCTGCACACTTTGCATGCCTCTCTGCTGCTCTGGGTGCGATGGCTGGAGGGCGGTCTTTTCCTCTGCATCACATAACTCCATAGAATTCAGCCCACAAGAAGACTGGGCTAAGGCTGATAAGCTAGCCCTCCTCCGCTGCCAGCAAGGTGAGAGCAAAAATGTGTCTGGGAAGCCACAGGAGAGCATGATGGCATGGTTGTTTTACAGCCCTGGTCTCAGTAAGGCAGGGATGACAGCTGGCTTCACCTGGGGAGATGTTGCTCCTTCACGCTGCCTGCATCTCACCAGGAAAAGAGGGAGCTCCCTGAACCTTCCCCACTGAACCTCCTCTGCAGCACTCAAAATTGACCCCACCATACATCTCATCTGCCATGAGTACTTATTATCTTGGCTGCTAGCCTCTGAAACGCAGTCATTCTTTTGAGTCACCTATAAGGTTAAAATTTCATCAGATCGTCAGGCTTCCTCCGTAGTTTTAATACTTGTTTTTTCTCTATCTGACAAAATCCAAGCAGCAGGATGTGTCAGTTTTTTTTAACGGCCAACTATGAGCCAGGCAGAAAGCAAGGATTTTACATGGAGATTCATTAAACTTTCTGTACTGATCTGGAATTTGCTTGGCTAAAGCATCTACGACCTTGTCCAGCAAACCCCCTCATCTTACTCAGGAATCATTTCAGGTCAAGGAGCCCAACAGAAGTTTACTTCGTTCAACATCTGAGGGCTTAGGCAGAATAGTAACTGATTTTTCACACATTTTTAACCCTACCATGGATCTGAGGTACCCTCTGCTTTCACTGAGGTCTCAGCTAACGTGATTCACCTTGCATTTGCAGTGTGCCAGCCCCATGCACAGCCTCCTGCTCTGGTCCACCTGGCATGCAGTAGCTCATTAAGCACTGGTAACTCTATCGTGTGCCCAAATCCTGAGGTCGCAGTGAGCAGCCCTGCACGTGTGACACGAACCTTTGCACAGAACAGCAGATGGTTTCAGCAGCCTTGTGCCAGAGGCTTTTAGAGACGAAGATTCCCCCACCTCCACCTCCTCTCCCGGCCAAACATACCAGTTGTTGGTGTTAACTGACTTCAAAAAAAAAAATGCTCAATTTCAAATGCCCATATAAAAAGCTATTGTCTGTACCAAACTAGCAATTTTAGGTTTAGTCCCCAGGGTACTATAAATCGTATGGATTTACAGCCGTGTCCCTGAGACCTCAGCCCAGCAGCTATCAGAAGGTTGGTGGATTCCTCCTGGGTGGGCTGTGGCCAGGAAGGCAGCTGCCTGCTCTCGCTGTTATCTCCTCAGGCAAAGCTCCTGGCCTTTTGTCCCGTGTCTCCCCCCCATTCCAGCGTGGCTATTTTTGTGACTCTGCTCTCTTGAGATCACTGCTTCCAGCTATAGAGAAGGAGCAAGTGGCACCACGTCCTTTTTCACCTGGGAAATGGTGTCTTTTCCCATTCCTTGTCACGTGTGTTATGTTCACCTGCTCTGCTCCAGGCCAGGCCCTGAGGTTATCCTCAGAGAAGCAGCTTGGTGACTCTTCTTTTAGTGCTGGTATCAGTGTTTATGGCACAGACTGGGTTCCTCAGGGCAAGCTGAAATTAATGTCACCTGTGTGATTTTCAGGCTGCTGATCCGTCCAGCCCCCGCAAAGCGGCGAAATCCAGTGCAGCTCCTGTAACTTGCACTAAATACAGAGGTTGCACCAATGATCTGCTTTTTGAGGACTCCTGTGCTGAATTACCCATATTTTTCTGTCTCTGATCTCACTCTGTGGTGGCATTTTAGACCTTCTGTCACAACCAGTTTCTGGTTGTTCCCATTGTCACTGCCCTGCATGACCTTCATCACATGCTGTATTCCTACCCTGGCAATGCTAATAGTCTCTCCGAGGCATGCACCTCCCTCCTCCGTCTCTTTGCCTTCAAGGCTGCAAGATTTTCTCTTTAGAGTTCGTTCAAAGCACAGACTCTCCTATGTTTTCAACATCCTCTTGTTTTCTGCCTCTGAAAATACAGCCCACATTCATTTTTTTTTTTTTTTTTGCGAGGCCCCATCAGAACTGGCAAAAAGCTTCTTCTTTTGCCGTGTTCGCTGTTCTGGAGCTTTTGGTGCCTCCCAATAAGGGAGCAGTGGCTGCTTTGTCCCAGCACAGCTCAGCAGGAACACGAGCAGGTGCTCTAGAGCTGGGAAGCCCAACCCTGCTCCAGGCACTGCTGATCAGCAGGACGGTGCCCGTCGGGCAGCGTTGTGACCCCCGCGGTGTGGGGACTCCCGCAGCAGCTCTTCTCGTTGCTCTGCAGAAGGACTTGGTTGTGCCCAGGTCGGGGAGGCTCTGCAGTTGCTGTCGCAGGGCTTAGGGAAGTGTGTGGCTGCCCGGGCTGGGCAGAACGCGTGCGTGGCAAAGGGAAGGCTTGGCAGAGCCAAGCTCGTCAGTCGGCCCCCCTCGTTGCGTCTCGCTTCTGGGTGGCGGTGAGCATCCTCCACGGGTTTTGTAGATTTTCACAGCGAAGCACTTCTTGAAATCTTCAGAATTTTGGTAGCGCCAAAAAATGATTGCTTTCATGTTATTTTTGTTTCCTCCGGTAAACACTATAACACTTTTCAGTGATTCTACACATTTCAATGACTGCGTCTGCTTCGAAGGTGCTTTAAAATATTCCCTCCTTCCCTAATATTTTTTCATTCCTTTTACTCCTTGTGCCTAGAAGTTACTTGGCCATGTGAAGCCTGACAGTGGTTTGTTGGGTTTAAATTGACCAGAACATGAACTATTTCACAGTTTGGCACCAGATCCCAGCTGTGGTTCCAGAGGCCCCTAACTGTTGCAGTTACTTGGGGAACTGCTAACTCGGCTAAGAGGTTTGCAGGAATGGACTTGTCAACAGAGCTAATGGGTCTGCTAAAGACCAGATTTTCAGAAGTGCCCAGCACCTATTATGTCTCACTGGGACACCAAAGGCACATTTTTTAATATCTATATTGTCCGAAGTGGTTATCATCGCTGAAAATTTGAGTACTCCGTGCTGAAATAACAGCTGAGGATCTCTGGGTCATGGTCGTGAAGGGCAGCTCAGAATTTCATTTGAGTAGGTGGAGGTTTTATTTAATCCTCCCTGGCTGAAGAAAGGAGAACGCAGACCAACATCCTAATGTTCACACAGTCTAAGTAGAGCTCTCCCTTCTTCATAACGGGACTGGCTACCTTCTGAAAACAGGATTGTGTAAGAGAAATAGGACATATCTTTAAAATACAAGAACAAGATTTGTTGAGAATTTGAACTTTAGGGATAGGTCACCTGCAAATCAAATTTAAAATTTTCTTTCGGGACAAACAGGGGCAATTCTCTTCAAAGCTGATCTTATTTAAGAGATCTCGTATTGAAACACCTTGCCACATGGGACAAGAAACGGCAGGGTGATGTAATTCTCACAACCTCGGACACTAATGGCAGTGTACAGAGCAAGGGTAGAGCTAAGTCTCCTCCAACACCAGATTTCTAAAATACAAGTGTTTATGCCAGGGACTAGTCACACCTACAGTTTCCTTACACTCCGAGGAAAGAGATCAGCACCTCCAGACAGCGATTCTTCTGATCTCTTGTGAATGGCCAAATTAGAGCAGACAAATTTTACCTCTACAGGTCCTGTAGCAAGACACCTTAGGGCCACAAATACTTGTTATATAGGCTGTAGGGGTTCACTCTTTTGGCCAAATAATACAGCGATGTTGCTGCAAAAAGCTTTTCAGTAACGAAGGAATTAGTAATCCAGTTTTAATCTTGTTTTAAAGAGAACTTGACCCTGTAGTGGCAGCAATCAAGGATGGAGATGAAAAAGCAGTATGCAACATGATGAAATCAGGAAAAGATCTTTCTGAACCTAATAAGGATGGCTGGATACCCCTCCATGAAGCTGCGTACTACGGCCAAGTGGGTTGCCTGAGCCTGTTGCAGAAAGGTCGGTGAAGTTAAAACTAATTAATTACAAAAGGGAGAAGAAGAATATGAATAAACTAAAAGGCAGAATTAGCAGCGGTCCAAACCTGGTCTGGGACTGTACGTGAAGCTTTTTTCCAACCCCTCTGAGTGTATATTAATTTCACTCTCTCTTTGAGAATAGGTTTCCAGACAGAAGCCTCTAAAGGTTAGGATCTTCAGGAGAAAGTTTTATCTGAATAGATCTTGCCAAGCCCTGGATTTCTCCCAGTAAAACCTCATAGCTGAGCTCTTGGCTGTTGTGAGCTGCTCAGCTGCCACAGCTGCCAGCAATTACCCCCCTTCCCACTAACTGGACATCCAGCCCAGCACCTCTTTGTTGGTGCTTGAAGGTGGTTAACTACTGCAGTTTGTTTTCAAACTGCTCTTCATTAGCCGTTACGCAGCAGCTTTCTGCATCACTAGTAGCCACAGATGAACAATTTAATCTAAACTGATGGCTGATTTAGACACTCAATCTGAGTTATTGTAACTTTATAGTATATTCTTATTTTCTCATTGAAAAGGAGAAGAAAACAAAAGAAATAAAGAACAAAAACTTAGCTAAAACTCCAAGGATTTTGAAAGGTGATGGGGCTGCAAACGCTTGTGCACCACATGCCATAATGACTTTGGGCTCGCCGTTTCCTCACAGCGTACCCTGGCACAATCGACCAGCGCACCCTCAACGAGGAGACGGCTCTCTACCTGGCCACCAGCCGGGGCAACCTGGACTGCCTGCTCACCCTGCTGCAGGCTGGGGCCGAGCCTGACATCTCCAACAAGGCCAGAGAAACCCCGCTCTACAAAGGTGAGTGGCTGCTTCTCCGGGGATACTGAGGTCTCGTGGCACCGCAGCGGCAGAGCTGCAGGATCGCTTGCGAGGCGGGGCTGAAACCCTGCGATTAGCTCCTGTTTTCTACCGCCTTCCAGTGGTTTTCTGTCTCCCGTGTCTGACCTGCCATGCCTCGGCCTCTCTTCTCACCCACATCAGAGACGGGACTAGCGGCCGCCCTGCGGGGCGTAGGCTGCGATGTGGTGCTGAGGGTGGGGTGTGCGCTGCTTCGTGGGGCCCTAAGCACGGAGTGTCTGCACGGCGTCCCAAACTTATGGCAAGCTGGGTAGCACAGGAATAGGCACGCTTTTCTAAACCGTTGGACCTAAGTAGCTGTCAGATGTGGGAGTAGGGTAACTGGAGACATGCCAGTGATTCACATAGTGGGGGGGGCCTGGCCAGGCTCTGTGCTGTAGGAGATGCATAAAGTTGAAAACAATTCAATATAAGGTGTTTAACATGGACATGTTACTTTACTGCTGGTCAGAGAGAACATTTTCTTTAGCAGAACAGCATTACATCTATGATACCACAACAATTCAGAGGAGATGATGATGTCTCACACCTTCATGTCCATTCTCCTTTGACTGACTGCTCCCGCCGTGACTATTTTTAGCACTCTAAAACATTAAAAAGCACGTATTACTGGTTAAAACCGTAATCTTGCCTCCAATTTTGGATGCCTGGCATTAGAGCTGCTCAGTTTAAAATGCTTCTGTTTTAAAATTCTGGCTTATGGTCTGCTAAAGGAAAGCTGTTCAGCTGTGCATTAAACACACGATGGTGGTGGTAGTAGTAGTAGTAGTACTAGTAATAGTAGTAGTAGTAATAGCAGCAGTGCTCATAGTAATAATAATAACAACAATAATATGAAAGCACCCTTTAGCCAGAGAAAAACTATTATTAAGAACAAAATCTTCTGGTCTACCCTTCAATAGAAAAAGAATGAAAAAATGATAACAAATTAGTCATTCCTAGTTTGTAAGCAAACTAAATTCTGTAGAGCTGTGCATAGGTAACTACAGAAGTGTCTAATTCTATACTTGCATATTCTGTACATGCGAGTGACACCTGTGTATGGGCGAGGAATCCATGGAAGTAACTCAAGGGAAGAATCAAAACCAAAAGGCGGGACGTCTCTGAGAAAAAGACACTATTATTTCAAAGAAAAAAAAAAAAAAAACAATTGCCATATGAGAAAAGGCTGATAGAATTGGGTTTGTTTAGCCTTGAGAAGAGAAGGCCTAGGGGAGACCTTATCACCATGTTCCAGTATTTAAAAGGTGGCTACAAAGAAGATGGGGACTGCCTTCTTACAAGGAGTCACATGGAAAAGATGAGGGGTAATGCGTACAAGTTACTCCTGGGGAGATTCTGATTGGACACGAGGAAAATTTTTCATGATGAGAACAATCAGCCACTGGAATAATCTCCTAAGGAAAGTGGTGGATTCCCCAGCTTTGGACACTTTTAAGATTCAGCTGGACAGAGTGCTGAGCCATCTTGTCTAGACTGGGGTTTTGCCAAGAAAGGCAGATGATCCTTGAGGTCCCTTCCAATCTGGTATTCTGTGATTTTATGCTTCTATGATTCTATGAATGTGCTGGGCTCTCTTTCTGTACATTGTACAGCAAATGTTGACTGGGGTTTGTAAATGAGACTGCTTATTCGAGGTACCTTTGGTTTGGGGTCCCACCATAAAGACGTGTAGGAAGCCTCATGATTTGGGATTCAAAAAGCAGTGCGACAAATTAGTAGATTAAAAATCAACAAAATACTGTTAATTATCAAGAAAATATCTTTAGCTCAGGATGGTCCTGAACTATAAATTGTTGCAGGCTGAGAAAGTGCTATTGACTTACCCCATTATTGTTTTCTAAGGATCCTTTTTTGGGTACTGTCAGTTTGAGCTTTTTTTATTTTCTTATCTATAGAGAGCTTTATCTGCAGTCCAGGGCAGTAACATACAGAGTCAGTTTGCACAGAATTTGTAAATAAAGGGTTCAGGTCATGTGCTTTCTAGAACATGTTTGTTCTTCATAAATTACCTCCCGCACCTTGTCACCTCCCTGTCACTGTGATGTCCTGTTGGTACCAATGTGCTGGGCTGGATTCCCCTCAGTACCAGGCTTGGCACAAGTCTTTCACAGGTCACTTAGCCTCCTCCAGGTCCCAGCTGAAGGTTGGCTTCACTGCCACATCCTTTACAAGCCCCAGACAATGTCATTTGGCAACAGCCTTGGCCCTCATATTGACCTCGATGGATCTTTGGTCTTATTCACTACGGCCTAGTTGTATTAAATTGCCTTGTGCTATAGGAAATGGATAACACAACAGCCAGAATCTTTTCAAAATCCTGTCCTAATCATTTCCCTTTTTTCCAAAACAGCTTGTGAGCGCAAGAATGCAGAGGCCGCAAGGCTCCTGGTGCAGTACAATGCTGATACCAACCACCGTTGCAATCGAGGATGGACAGCTCTCCATGAGGCTGTCTCCCGAAATGACCTGGAGATTATTGATATCCTTGTGAAAGGGGGTGCCAAGATTGAGTCTGCAAATGCCTATGGGATCACTTCTTTATTTGTGGCAGCTGAGAGTGGGCAGTTGGAAGCTCTGAGATACCTCGCAAAGTGTGGTGAGTACAGTTGTACCATTACCTGTCTTACTCATTTAATTCGAAGTTCCCATTAATTGTTCTGGGCTCAGTTTCTCTGTCTCTGGAGACGAGGCCTAGCCTGCCGGGGTGCTGAAACCCAGTTGCTCTGGATGGCTGAATTGTGTAGGGTCTTTCAGAGAGCACGGTCTAGACACATGTGCTTCTTCAACATTCTTTCATGGTCACCTACTTTGGGAAGTAATATGGTGCTCTCTAATTGCATTGCCCGACACCTTTCAAAAGCCATATGGCTGCACACATGGAGCCTAAAATCCAATCAGTCATAAAAGACAACTGTAGGTGCTAATAGATGTCAGAAGGTGAACATTAGCCAACCCCATCTGCTCATGAACATTGCAGTGATGGGCATGGTTAGCTCTCCTCTACTAATGAATCCTTCTGAAAATAGATAAAGTACTATTGTATAGTTTATGGATTTACACCAAGGAGAAGCAAACTCACTCTCCCCGTGTGTATATGTTCAAATATAAACAGAGTGAATTTGATTCTAGTTTACACTAATCCTACCTTTTACTGCTCCACTTATAAAAAAAAAAAAAAACAGCAACATGTTTTACTACTATTCTGAGGCATATTTTATCTTCACTGTGAGCTAATATCTTCCATGTAGGTAAGAGTTGGGTCCTGCAAGTGTGAAACAAGAGCTAAACAGTGATAAAGATAAGAAAGTCTTCTGAAGCAGTTAGTATGACTAAGAAAGATATCAGAGTTGGGGAACAAAAAATGTGTTCTGCTGTCCAGCTAGCATTGTCAAGTCAATTTTATATGACCATTTAGTCCATCATACTGCCCATGATTTTAGAAACTAAGCCAGAATGTGATTTGTGTTTCAACTTAGATAGATCTTAGGATTTCCTTAAAGTTCAGTTTTGAGAAAAATACACAGGAGAAAATCCAATAAAACTGTCCAATTGTTCCAAGCCCTGAGGAAATCCTCTGAGAATTCCAGGAATGATATCACTTCATTGCTTATGATGAGCAGTATTCATCATAAAAAGAGTATCTTTTTCATTCCTTTTTCATTAGGAATGTAGTCCTGTGTTATGTTTTGCCACTGCAATTCTCCTGATGTTTCCAGCTACAACATCTTCAAAGGGCCAAACACAACACAGATGTTTCAGTTTGGGGTAAGAGCACAGGGAAATATTCTCTTTGGCAGGGAGTTTTCGTGATCAAATGGGAGACTAATTGGCTTCTTTATTGGAGTTTAGAAGCAAAGCTCCACTGAACTGTCTTTCCTATTTAGGATACATACATAGCAGCCTTCCTGAGGACATTGTGGTACAGTATATTACAGTAGAAACCCAGGCTTTCAGGCCTTTAAATATCTAGCCCAGAAAAAGCTAGATTCCAAATTGTTTGTGGCCAAAAAGTATCAGGTCTTGGTTTATTCTTGCATGTTGTTTATTAAGCCAAGCACACACTACAGCATAAGAACAAATGCCCCAAATAGTCTAGTAGCTTATTAATAATATTTTTCTTTTTTAAGTAAAACTTACCATTTGGAGCCTCACTTGAACCTTCCTGAAGAGATACAACCTCAGGTGTTGAGTTTGTGTTGAGTGTTGAGCCAATGAATATTTATTCATTGACTAAGGCATGCCCAAATAAAAGCTGATTAGAACTGTTGCTTGGTACCGTGCAGATGTCATGTTACAGAGTCCTATTCTAGCCTGGATATGTACTAAAATTAAAATATAGTATGAATAATATACATGTATTCATAGTGTGAATATATAGAATATAAATAATATGTATAAATACAAATAGGTATATATCATAAATACATAACCATAGAATTTTGGAGAGCACCTATTGAGATCATCTAGTCCAAATTCCTGCTCAGGAATAGTGTATATGCATAGTGTAAATGCATAAATACTAATGGAATTATTGTGCCTCAGGAAAAGGCCATGCTATATAAAGAACAACACGTTTTGAAGTTTTTTGCCTCTAAGATACAGCTGAATGGAGCCTGGATGGATGACTGGGAACTGATGGTTGCCACCCACGTCAAACTCTCCCTCATAAAAGTCACATCATATGAAAAGCCAATGGAAATTTATGATACAACTGTATATAACTAATATGACTGTAACACCTTTCACAGGACCTCATTCACATCCCCGTCTGGAAAATTTTGTAGCTCTAGTGTCATGGAGATATACATGTTCATTCAAAGTATGTTCCTTCTATCTGATTTTAACCTTTTGATGCTACCAAGATTTTCTTCCTTCCTAGGTGCTGATATAAATACTCAAGCCAGTGATAATGCTTCTGCTCTTTATGAAGCCTGTAAGAATGGACACATACATATTGTGGAGTTTCTTTTGTCCCAGGGAGCAGATGCTAATAAAGCCAATAAGGATGGCCTGTTACCTCTTCACATAGCAGCCAAAAAAGGGATTTGCGAGTAAGTTTTATTTCATGTCGTATTTTCATCTCTTAGACAAGAATCCAAGGTCCGTATGAAAAGGAGAATATAACGTCCCAGATCTAATTCTGAGCATTGTGTGCAAGAGAACTGCCAGTTGAGAACTGGGCTTTCAGCTTGCAGAGCTCAGGTTGGAAGTTATAAACTGAAGAGTGTGTTTACGGGTTAGGATGAGATGGGGTGAGCAGGAATGTGGGGTGCAAGATTCCTTTAGCTTTGCCAAGATATCATCCGTTACAGATAAATAACCTCATGTACCTTGGAAGCGGATTAAACTGAACTCCACAAACCATGCTTGAGATGGAATAAAAAAACATCTGTGTGTGTGTGTGTGTGTAGGGGTGGGGGTGTTAGTCCTCAATAGCTGTTGCAGCATAGTTTGCAATAATTTTCCTGCATGAGCCCATTGTGATTCTTCTGCACAAGCAGAACATGCTGTATTCATCTCTGGTGTGTTCAGATTTCATTAACAATAATTCAGATGCTGACAGAAGGAAGTGGTTAAGTGAATCTCTGGAGGGCATTAGTGAGATTGTTGCTAGACTATGGTGTCCAGTTCTGGTACCCTCCCTTTCCGAAACCTTTCAGGAAATTGGAAAGACTTCAGAAAAGAAGTACAAGAATTACTCATGGTCTGGAAAATATACTTTATTAGTGGGTGTTTAAATGACTCGTAAATGTAACAGACAAATACAGAAAAAGATCCAATGGTTTGTTTCTGAAATGAAATGTGTTTGGGATAGAGCTGAGCACATTCTTTAAGCACTGAGAATAAAATGCACTAATGAAAAAAAAAAAAGAAAAGCAACACAGGAATTGGGTAGATTATTGGGTAGATTTACCAGTCATCTGAAGCAGAGGTGTTTATAGGAGAAGAAGAATCTCTACAGCATCTGTTGAAGGAATATGCATTTAGAAGATGTTGTCTAGGGATGGGGTTGTTGCACTGTCATGTAAATAGTGTTTACCTAGCTCTTTCAAGACCTGGGACATTGCAGCAAGCTTCTGAGCCTGAACTCCTTAACATTTACCTTAGATCCTAGGGCAAGTTTTAGCTCCTGCCTTTAGCCCCACACTGCTGAAAGGGCGAGTGGCCCGCAGCTATTTTTGCAAAACACAGTCACATGCTGCAGTGACAGACCCTTTTGGTGACTGTAGTGAGCTCTTCTGACTGTCACAGTTTCTAACAAAATCCTTTCAGCAAGTCAAAGGAGAGAGTATATCCGACTGCAAAGACTGTTTCTGGATAGAAAAGCTATCTTTGCAGACAACTGCTAGAGCAAATTCTGACTTATTTCACAATATCTAAGGAATGAAAACTTTTGACAGCACTCCACCTTCCCATAGCATTTTTTATCCTAGTGCTTAGGTCTGCTTGGGAATCCCAGTTAAGCTTCTCAAATCACTTTGATAGACCTGAAGGCTATTAATTTTCTGTTGGAGTAGGCCTGCTTCTTTGTGCAACCCAGGTATTCTAGAGGGCAGCCCAGTGTGAATTGATGTAATGGGTTTATATGCTTGCAGCATGTACACAAATACCCTGTATAGATAAATGCAGGCATGATTCAAAATTTTCTCCAGGATTTGAGTTACAAAGATGTCTTCTTGAAGACAAACACATTTTAGATGAGAAATGTGCCAGAGACAAAACCCAGCTCCAGTTGCTCACTTTCAAAAAAGTTCATCTGAAAGTACAATAAACTGATCTGAATCCAATTTGTATATAGAGTCTGGACCAGTGCTCTGACTCTTCTCCCCTCAATAGTTCCACACCCTGACCTGAAAAGAAATTTGCATAGAAATTCTGCAACCTGAGTCCATCTTCATGTTATGCAAAAAGGGCCTGATTCAGATCTCACATCTATTATTCCCAAATCCCAGCAGCAAAAAATGAGACCAGAATTCAGCGCAAACTCTGAGTTCCTTTACTTGTAAAAGACTGAGCACAGATTTTTGTGCACAACTGCTGCAAACAAAGTGCAAAAGAAATAAAAAAGAAAAATATCTTCCCTTATAAATATTTATCTAAATGACAAAGCTCTAGCCCAATTGGCTGATCATTCTTAATTCCTTTGGTATTCAGTAAAATAACACCCTTCATGGTGACCTCTCTTTGTATTCCTGCAGATTTAATACGTAATTCTGCAGGAATTCCATGCTTCAACTTTTTGCCAAAGCATGAAGGCTCCCTACCATCAAAAAAAGCCAAGAATGTGGTCCCAAGGCTCAACTGTCAACTCTTGTTGCTTGTTGTTTGTTTTTTTTTAAATGACACCTTGTCAATATTGACCTAAAATTCGTAAGGGTCATCTCATCAGCTGTAGGACAATTGCAAGCAGTCATTTAACTCCTTCCCCCTCAGAACTGAGATGTTGAGAAGGGAAGACTTTGAGAAGTGTGGGCAGATTTATTAAGTAAATACAAGTCATTAAACTCTTGGCACACTCGTACTAAGGATGCTCTTCCTCTTCCTCCATATAATTTCTAACAAATAGAAATCACGGAAACAGGTGTCTGGGATCAGGGAAAAACTCAGCACTATTTTGAAATTATACATGAAGCTCAGCACTGTAACAGACGTGGGATGTGGTCTGGCTTGTTTGGAGTTGGCTGCCTTCACTTGGGCTGCCTTCTCCCTCAAGACAAGACAGGAAAGACTGCAGAGGCGGAGGCACGGTATTACTGAACCAACCCACTTTGGAGGATGAGGAAGAGAGACCGATTCAAGCTACAAAATGAAACTCTGATACAAAGTTGGTGCTTCCTACTTTTTCTCCCCAAATAAATCTGTGGTACTGGGAGTGTACTGAGGTCTGGGACACTGCAGCACTTGGATGCAGAGCCTCGGTGTGACACTCCTGTGGTGAGGTTCAGGTTCCCCTTGCAGACAGAAATGACGCGGTGCCTCTTTAACTCAGTTGCGGAGAGCTGGCTGAAGCACATGTGCTGTAGGGAAAGAACAAAACAGACCCTGAAATCTTCAAAACAGTTGAACGTGGGATGACTAATGCTGGCACTTGGCATGGTGTCCTTGCAGTGCTCTGTGCCCTTTTTGTTATTATGGCTCTTACAGAACATTTGCTGATGGTGGGAAGTTGCCAGCTCACCAGCACCCAAACCTCCTGCTCCCTGGTGAGTGTCACAACACTGAAAGATTAGTGAAGCTGCTTGGAGAAAGAAAACCCACATGCTTAATTTCCAAAGATACTTACATAACTGAAAAAGCCTTTTTGTTTAAAAATTAGATGTAGAAGTAACTTGGAGACATCAACAGTCCATCATGTAAATAGGAACATAATTCTGTAAACTGTTACGCATCTTCAACTCTTATTTCAGGTCTTGAGAGTGTTGGAGGCTCAGTCTTTCACAGGATCATTCAGTGCATCACAGACAAATTTTTTCCTGAGACTAGCACTTATATTTGGCCTAGTTCATTGTGTAAATATATGTTTGAGTGCCCAGTCTTGGGACCAGCCATTGCAGTCAAGCTGAAGTTATGCAGCATTTTAAAGGAGACATGCTACATGGTAGGAAACTGAGCTTTGCGTGTTTGTGTGTTAGAAGAGTTGTTGACTCTTAAATAGAGAAGTTTGCATGGGAAGAAGAAGAGGAAGAGAAGGTATGCTTAACTTGCTGGATCCCACAAGTTCCTCTTTAGGTATCCCACGCTCCACAGGCAATATATAGAGAGCATCAGCATCTCCTGAGACAGTAGGAAGGCTCAGGTTGGATGGTCCCTAGTCTCTAGAAGTAGCTTAAGGTGAATTGTCTGTATTTACAGAATCAACCTAGTGCCTTGGCTAAACCATCCAACTTTATGAGCAGGAATTGAGGGTTTAACCCATGGGACTGGTCATGCAGTTCCAATGACACCTATGGAGACATAAAAATTATCATGGATTTGCAACTGGCTGTGACCCACAAGGCCTACCAACACGTTGTGTTGGTGCCCTTCTCTGCTGAGCAATAAAACAATCCCGATGGAGGTGGGGAGGTACAGCCTCTCTGCCAGCTCCTCAGGCTGGAGACCATACGCCTGTTCCTCCAGTCCTACCCACAGAGTGATGATGAAGATGCAGAATGTTTGGGAAATCCTGGCTGGGTGTCTGCCATTTGAGCTGTGGCAACTAAGAGAGTTACAACAGGCTAGATGAGGTGCCAGCATGTTGTTCCTTCCATTGTAACTGCCCCTGCAGCTGCCATTACCTCAGTGAAGCTGAGTGATAATTTCAAAAAACTTTGGTCCTCCATGAAAGGGGGGATCACACAACTCACATTTTTGGCAAGGCAGGAGCACGGGGAGTTGTTGACAGGTTTCAAGTTCACGCCCTGGGTTCTCCTAGAGAGAGTTGTTCCTGTGCCCAAGTTAGCAGGCTCTGTCTTATGGTTACAACCATACAGCTACTGTTTGCTGTCTAGTTGTAGATCCCCTAGATCTCCTAGAGCTCACTGCTGTTCACTGACTCTTCACCCGGCAGGATTGTCTCCATGCTGATCCCTGTGACCAGCCGCACCCGTGTCAAGCGTAGTGGCATCAGCCCCTTGCACCTGGCAGCTGAACGCAACAACGATGACATCTTGGAAGAGCTGATTGATGCTGGCTATGATGTCAACACTACCCTCTCCGATGAACGATCCTGCCTGTATGAGGACAGACGCACCACCCCCTTATATTTTGCTGTTTTTAACAACAACATCTATGCCACAGAGCTCCTGCTGCAAGCCGGAGCCAACCCCAATGTCGATCTCATCAACCCATTACTCATCTCCATCCGCCATGGCTGTCTGAAGACCATGAAACTGCTCCTTGACCACGGAGCAAACATTGATGCCTACATATCAAGCCATCCCACCGCGTTTCCGGCTACCATCATGTTTTCGATGAAGTACCTTTCCGTGCTGAAGTACCTCCTGGATCTGGGCTGTGATGCAGGTTCCTGTTTCGAGTGCCAGTACGGAAATGGCCCACACCCTGTATTAAATTACAGACGGGACAGACTTAATGATCCTCAGCAGTCCAAGGAGCCAACTGTAGTACAGGTAAGGATGGCCTAGCCTACCTACAGTACTTCTGAGAACATCTCCTACCCATGTATCTTGACAACTTTAATGTATTTTTTCTCCCAACTTTCCTATCAGAGAAGATGCCTCTGTTCTGACTTTATTTACAGAAACAAGGGCTCAGTAAGAGTCTGTGAATGTTCTAAGTCCATGTTCAATGACAGCAGGTCGGTAGGCAATAGCCTCTGTGGCCCTAGCATGAATTTGCAGTGAATTATAGTAATCTTGACAGACCTTGCTGTCAGATCTACAGTATTCTTTTTCTCTGGACCTGAGGTGCCAGGAGCGAAGCATGTTTTCTTGACAGTCAGTGTCACATGGGTGGTAGCGTATGGACAGTAGAAACCTGCTTGTTTTATTTTGTCCTGTAAGATTTGTTTTGTCCGATATGGAATTTAAGCTCCTGGTTAAATTAAAATTGTCTAGTGCTTCACTTCATGAGGGTAAACTAGTGAACGTAAATAATTGCAGTTTCTGAGTCTACTGGATAAGCAGCCCTGGAGAGAGTGTAAATTGCTACATTAGATATATGACTGTGTATTATACATGTAGGATATTATATAACATGTGTATCTTTGGAGTCCTTCCTAAAGCGCTGCTAGGCTCAGCTTCCATTGGGCTGGACTTGGACTGTCAGTTCCTTAAAGGACTTCGCAGAATCTCAAATTACACATTTTTTTTTTTTCATGATCTCTGTATGTTGACTCCTTCCAATATATCTCAAACAAAATCTGACCCTCCAATCAAAATTTGCTACCCTTCAACATGCAACACAACAAAGTAATCTCAGCATGGCAGTCTTTCTGTTTTGCAAAAAAATCAGTGAAGAAATAAATCAGCTTCTATCTATTTTAAGTGTAGCTTTGAGGGATTGAGAATAAAGTGTAGTTTAGCCCAAAGAGGTGGTCATCAGTAAACGCTTCTTGGTGGTAGAAAGAATAAAGGAAAACATTAAAAGATCCTAGGAAATCCTGACCTTTTTATCAGTCCTGTCTTCCAAAAGACTGTTTTCCAGTAACATGTCTGGGAAAAATCAAACAAAAAGAAATCTTAGAAAGAGGATTATAAGAGTCCATCAAAATAATCTCTTATCCCCAGAAGAACTGAATTCTCCTTGAGAGTGTTTGTCACAGCAAACTTGCTCCAGGATACCACAGTTTTGTCAGAGAAAAATTAATAAAATATATAATCTCTAGTTCTTGAACCATGATAGGGTAGCATGTAGAGTGAACAAAGGGCTGGAATTCCAAGGCAAGGAGAGAGGGTTTGTCTGAAACCCTCTGTGGTATCCTAGCCACTCAAAAACAGTTCTGTTTTTACTTATTTAAGCACATTATTTCCCTCTGGATCTCACCTAAAACTACTTTTAGTGCCTAACAAAATATTAGGTCACTGAGAGTCATCACCTAAAAGGTCAGACCACGTGAGGCAGAGCTATCAAAATCTGTATAAAATTGTATCTGTGCCTAGAGAGAAACCGGTGAGGGACAAATGCACATAGAGAAAAAGCAATCCCTTCCCTCCAATATTATTTTACATTTTCCTCTTACTGCTAGGAATTTAGCTAATAAAAGTAAGACTTGTGTGGTGTAGCTTCAGGATACAGTTGTGATACGGTTTGTATTCTGACATATATAAGGATCTTATGAAACTGTAGCCTTTTCCACACAAAAGATGTGCATTTTTTATTTTCATGCATAAGATTATGTAAGGATAATAAATCCAAATGCTTAGTCTTTACGCAGTAAAGACTATGAGTTACTGGAAGTAGATTTGAAAAATGCGTAACTATAAACCATTACTGTTGCTACAAAATTAATGTGTTCTGGAGAAAGTGAATGCAGAAAAATGGTTGCTGTCTCACTCCACATTTCCAGAATTGCCATGTCAAAACTGTGAACGTGGGGAGTGAGGTATCCGACTGCCACGAGAGGGCATTCGGGGGCCTGCTGAGACTGCAGGCTCAGAGTCACTGTGTCCCTGAGTCAATCCCATTGCCTGTTGTTGCAGATTTGCATTATTTTGCTTTGTTTTGCTTTGCTTCTTTTCCTGCAACATGTTATGGAACATTTTTATTCCAGAAAACATTTTTGTAGACTGAACGTGTGAATAGGGAAGAGAGAAAAAGGCAGGCAAGGTCTCTGGCGAAGACAGGAAGAGGGGAGCCGTAAGATTCGGTGTTTATTGCTCGATACATGTGTCCTCATTTAAACTCTGACAAAGTGGAGTTACTGCTTGGAGGTGGTAGTGCAGATCCCCAGTTTGCACGTCCTATAGGTAACTGCACGGCAATGGCATATGACAGCCAGGTATACTAAACTGAACTTCCTATAAGCAGTCCAGGTAGGAAACTGTGGGCTGAATGCTGGGATCCTCCCAGCATTACTGTATCTAATTTTCCTGGGAAACACTACTCAGGGAAGAAAAAAAAAAATCAGAAGAGTACTAAACACCTCTGTGAATGCTCTCACCTTGAATAAAATGTCCTTATAAATTTCTGCAGCTTTATTCTTTCCTAGGTGAGCTAATATAATTTTATTTCTGAATAAGAGTATCCACACAAGAGTTTAATGCATTTTAGGTTAGGGCTCATGCATGTATAATCAAATTTGATCTAGTTACAGGAGCTCAAACTGAGAGAGGTTTAAGCTGGTGCATTTTCTTTCCTGTTTGGGGTGGGCTTGGAGGGTGTTGCAGTCTCAGTGACTAAGCTGATGGATGGTGTTTAAGCCACCATCATTCAATTGGGTTCGGTCATGTGCCTGAATTCTTATCCACACAGCATGATTTAATTCATTTTAAATTTTCTGACTGCTCACATGCAGACAACTCCACAAATAACTTCATCCTATACAGCACCCTAACAGAGATAGATGAAGCTGTCTGCTATAATATACGTACCTAGATTAAAGCGGGAAGAGAATTCACTATCTTTTTGAAATGAGACTGCTTAAAGTCAGGTCCTTAAGTCCGTTCTTCTGTATCTCCATAAGCAGCCCTCCATGCAATGGCTCTGAGTGCAGCTTGCGCTGGGGACAACAGAAAATTTGCCTGATCCAGGGCTGAGTAAGAAAGACAGCTCTGTATTGGGCCCAGGATAGTTCTGCCATAAACGAGTAAAACTGCCTGGGATTGATTTGTGCAGAGATTTCCCCAGACTCGTTTGTAGTAAGGTGTTTGGTCCCCAAAAGCTGCAGATACTGGTGGGTTCACAAGAAGCAGGGGCTGTGCTCTGCCAAATCTCCCTCTTTCCCTAAGCCTCCTTTGTGCACAGCTGCCCCACAGAAAAGGGACCCAGCACAGCCACACTGCCCTGTGCTGCATGGGCCTTTCAGTAGCTGCCTCGCTGGCTTGGGGCAAAGCTCCTCTGTCCTCCCATTTCTGCAGAAATAGGACCTTTGGACCCTGTAAAAAATTCAGCATCCTTTCCATGCTCCAGAGCTAGGACTTCACCAGGGGTTTGTGTCCTCCTGTAGTTGTAAAGAGGGGATTCTACTCTCAGTTGCAAAAAAAAACCCTGAGGCTTTTGTTGGAGTTTTCTGAAGGGAAACTGGTAATTGTCCTCACAGCTGGTAGAAGGGTGGAACCACCAAAGCTGTTGGGGCTGTTGCTATTGTTGCAGTTTCCACAGGTGGGTTCATGTTCCACTGACCCTGGTCAATCTGTTTTTCCTTGAAGTTTTGTGAAATGATATCTACTCCCGAGATGAGTCGCTGGGCTGGGCCAATCATCGATGTTCTCCTGGATTATGTGGGTAACGTGCAGCTCTGTTCCCGGCTCAAGGAACATATTGACAGCTATGAGGATTGGGCTGTCATTAAAGAAAAAGCAGGTATGGTCACCCAGGAGATCATCTGGCACAAATAGTCCTGCTGTTGCACTCAAATCCTCAGTCACCATCTCCTCTTAGCATTCACCCCTTAAACCTTATAGGATTTCCCTACCGAGACTAAATTATATTTTGGACCGGGTATGAGGCGTTCGAAATTGCCAGGGTGTCACTGACCGTGTGATGTTAAATGTACACCAGCTGTGGATCTGACCCACTGAGAATGAGCATCGCCAGTGCAGGAATCTGCCTGTACCTGGGGTGCACTCAGACCAGGGCAGGGGGGCAGGCCACAGCAGCCCAGCAGGCACCAGTGGCCTTTAAAGCCTTTACTAATATTCTGATCTCCTAAATATCTTTTCCCTCGGGATCTAAAGTCTTTCATGGACATTGTCAGAATCAGATTTCTGGCACCGAGATAAGTTTGGTACATATTATATTTATTTTTAGTGGGAAGGCTGAGTACTATGAGACAACTTGTTTCAATCCTCCTAGAAAGCCTGTTACTAATGAGATGGGATACAGCCCCCCATCCTCCAGCCCTGGTTCCTTCCCTATCTCATGCCTCAGCATAGATGAGCTGTCACCAATGCCAGCCGTGTCACCCTTCCATTACAGAAAAGCCCCTTTTGTTTTCATTCCTGCTTCTCCCATTTCCTCTTGCCACTGACCTGGCCAACCCAAGTTGTCCCTCTCACGTTTAAATATGTTCTGCTCATGTTTCTGACCTACCTGTCTTTCAGAGCCCCCACGACCTCTTTCCCATCTTTGCCGCATCAAGGTTCGAAGACTGGTTGGAAGAGACCGCATTAAACTTCTCAACACCTTGCCTCTGCCCGACAGACTGATTCGATACTTACAGCATGATTACACACAGTGACCCCAGGCACACCAGACACGCAGCGGCTTCCCGGCACGGCACCCAGCATCATCAGCATGGTGAGAGCACACGTTGTGCACAGCGGGGAGGAATTGCTGCTGGCTTGGTCAAGCGCCCTCCAATGACTAACCTAAGAGAAATATGCTTCTGAAGCATGAGTGAGAAGAAAATGGAGGAGACAGAGAGCTAAACGTAGGACTGTTGTTGGGTTTTCCGAGAGAAAACACATACGATTCACCTCAGAGCTTGGTTTGCAAAGAACGAGAGATGAAAGCCAACACTGAAAAATGAATAGTGCTGAAGCAAGTATCAGTGAGGAATTCAAAGGTATCCTGGGGTTGTGGTGGAGCTTAGCATCCTTGCTGTGATCTCAATTCAGAAATTGTCAAGACTCAACATATTTGGGAAAACAACCATTTCCTTCATTGACTGAGATTTTTATTTTAGCTTCTATTCTACTGTTTGGATTTCTGCTAAGTGTGCTTGTTGCTAATTCTCTGATACTTTGACACCATCTTGCTAACACTTTTACTTTCATTTTTTGGACCTTTCTTATTGAGCACAGTATTTGATTTCTGAACAATCAAATCTCGGAACTTTTTAACAGACTAAAATTCAGAAACACTGACTCCTTTAAAGGTCAAGGAAAGGTTTATTTAAGGAGGTTGTAATAATTGTATTTGCACATAGTGAATACACTTCATTTCGTATTACATTTGCAATGAGAAGTATGGAAAATTCTGCTTGAGCGAATTTCCTAGACTGGGGATTTGAAAGCTAATCTGAGCTCTGTTTGTTTTTTTTTTTCTTTGTTTGTTTGTTTGTTTGTATAAATTAGAAGTAGCTGCACTGGAAACAGTAGCTTTACTCTGTCATGAAGCTGGTGTCAGAACAGAACAAAGCCCTAGAGGAGCAGGAACAGAAAGTGATGTGAAGGAGAGAGGTGAGGCACGTAAGGAGAGGCAGCACTGCTAAACCAAATTTATCTGTTCCTCCCCTAGAAGATCTTGTCCCTACAAAACCCAGCCTCTCTTACTATCTTGGATCTCGGTGTCTATAACGATACCATCCCTGGAAGAAAGGGATATTATTTCAAAATTATGAAAGTCAGACTTTGAGATTTGTGAAAACAAATACCCAGAGTTAGGCTTCCAAATCCTTATTCAGGTGCCTAAACAATGCCAAGTTACTTGCACCAGGTGTAGTTCCACTTAAGCCAATGGTACGACATTTGGTGTCAGATATTACTGAGGCAGATTTAGGATTTAGCCCTGGATTTCCTGACTTTGGAAGTCTGAAGTATTTATTAGCTCCCTTTGACACTGATGAAAGTTAATATCTCAGCTTCTTTGAAAATTAGGTCACCTATTTACAGCTCAGATCCACAACTGATTTATGGCAACTTAACAAGTTACCATCTATCAGCTGAACTGCTATAATTGTCCGTGAAATTCTTTTATTGAAGTTTTTAACAAGTCACATTCCCTCACAGCTGGGGAGGCTGAGGAGCCCATGAACAGTTATTGGCAGTGACTACAGCTCAGTTGACAGGTGTGATTTGCTGAACTGATTTGATGAGTGTCTCATTCCTGACTAGCCACCTAAGTAAGGATGGAAGAGTCTACATTTCCAACTACGTCTTCACAGAACTTATGCTAGAAACGCACTCATTCTTACCTTAGGTGACAAAGGAGCTGTGCACCATGGCTTGTTTGAATTACCCTCCAGAAACCTGACAGATCTTGTTTTTGTTTCTTCACCTGTGTAACATCCATGGAATCAGACAGAAATGCAAGCAGCAGGGAAAATCCGTTGCACTGGCTTTTATTTGTGTGGAGTTTTATGCCCTTAACACAGGACTAAAAGTGTGTTGCACACATACAAGTCTGTCTAGGCACACAAGTTCAGGTTCTGCAATGGTTTTGTGTGAAACGTGTTCAGCACTTGTGGGGCAGAATGTGAGCAGAAGAATTTGTTACAGCTTTAGACATTCTGTCCATAGCTGTCCCCTTCCCAAATGCAAAAGAAGTTGAAAAAAACAACAGTTTCAATTCACACTGAACAGTGAACTTCTTGCAAAGCTTTGGAAAGTCATGTTAGATTGCTCCACTGCTGAAATTTCGCCTAGTGACTTCCATTACTACCAGTTTAGGCTCTAGCCCCTTGTTTCCTGCAGTGTGAACAAGGACTTGGAAGAATACTGGGTAGAGGGAAAGGGTTGGAGAAAAGGAAATCTTTAGATCAGTTTTGACAATGAAGTCCTTGTATTGGTAAGCAATAGCTTGAGAGATAGAAAATCACCTATGGAGTCTGTGCATCTCTCAGTTTAAGGGGCTCAGCAGTGAAGTTCTGGGACCTTCTCATATTGATATAAATCGCAGTAAAATTCCTTGAAATTAAATGAGTGTAACAGGGCATGGTCATAGAGGGTGATGGATACAGACATGGCTTGGTGGAGACCGTTTGCTTAAGTGCTTGTTTGGTGTGCAGTGACCGCCCTGGAGACCGCTGGCTGGTAGAAGGATTCACAATCACCAAGGGTATGTTTAACTACAGGGGTGGGATTTCTTTAAGCTATCCCAAACTGTGAATTTGCCCTGAGCCAGCTTTGTTACGTACACGAAAGTCTCACGAGTTGCAATTTCTTGTTATGTCCTTGGAGAAATTGAAACTGGGTTTGAGTGGAGCAAATACGGAAAGTCCATTCCTTCTTTCAACGAAGAGACCTTCACCTCTAGTGGGAGACCCATCTCCTGGTTGCTCTCAACCATCTGTCCTGAGCAGGAGAGTCACTGAGCTAGAAATCACTGGTCTGAGGGGAACGTACCACAACTGTGGGAATGATAAGGGCTCGCTGTGCGCAGAAACCGAGGAGAGAAGAGCCTCTTAGAGGGGAAATCTAGTAATTGCAATGTTATTAAGTCCTTTCTGCTTGATTCTTACAACAAATCTTCACACACTCAGTTTACATTTATTTGCACTGAAATGGAGCCTGCTGCCTCTCCACTCCAGTCATTGACACAGTATTTTGTGCTCAATACTGCATTTGCATAAATTCAATGTGCATGTAATGCATCTATCTAGAAGTTACTGTGAAAAGGCAAATACCCCCAAACCCAAACAAACCAGGCTTTGTAAGCAGATCAGTAGTTCTAGTGCAAGGTGAAGTGGCTTGTTTTTACCGAGTGTGATACATAGACTCCTTCAGAGATGATGACTTTATGTGAAATGTTCTAGGAATATTTCATGACCAGGTTACTGTACATTTTTTTTACTGCAACGTGCAATTCACTTGATGTTCTTGTGCACTTTTTTGATTTTTTTAATTTCATTTTTATTTCATTTTGTATGAAAGCTTTTTCACTTACCTCTCTCTTCCAATTATTTATAAAAGCTATTTTGGTTTTAACAGTTTAAATTTGCATTGTTGTAGTAAATAGCAGCTCTCAAATGTTATGTTTCCATCTTTCAAAAAAAGTCTGAATAAACAAGTAGATTCTGAAGGGATATCAGCTGTCCTGAATAATAACATTGAACAACCAAACACAAAAATAGCCAGGAAAAGTCTGAATCAATCCAAGCTTGAACAATCAATAATGTTGATGTTAATCTCAGGGGTGAGAGAACGGTAAGTATTGCTAGAGATGAGACGGAGTTGCTATTCTTTGCAAACCTTTTGGAAAGTCTCAAACATCCCCATTCAATGATTTTGAATATACTTAACAATTGTCTTCTGTTCATTTGTGTTTTACTTCACTGCTGCTCCAGTCCAGAGCCCCATCAAGGGCTATCACCTGCCCTGGGGTGGAGAGGGATGTACGTCACAAAGGATTTTAAGGATTTTAAGAAGTAACATCAGTTTAAATCTGAGGGTAAATGCGTAAATATCTGTGTGCCAGAGGTCATTTGGAATGGTCTGTTTCAATCCTTCATGGTAACTTAAAAACACGCTATTCTACTACATGGAAAATATGCAGCAACATGCATTCAAATAAGAAACAGTTTAAAAGAAGAAAACAAAGAATTTAATATCTGAAAGGTAGGAACTTGATTTTAACTCTGTTCTTTCTCTGGATTTCATCAGAAATAAAATTTCTACAGAGGCTATCCAATTTGCCAAGTATTTTAATTTTTATAGAAATACATATTCTGGTGCAATATGCAGCACTTTCAAATTTCCCTTCTGAACTCAAGCAGAAACACTTGTCCACAGCAATAACTGTGCAGTGAACCTGTGATTCATTCCGCAACCTGTTCTGGCCACCCGGATGGAAGTCCAGACCGATGCCATCGAGGCTGCTCTGCATTGACAGTGCTGAGACAGAGTTCAGCATCTGGCTTCATCTGGATTACAACAGTGACACAGAGCTGTTGGTGTAAGAAAGCGCCCCTATTTCCATGTAAAAAGTTCCTTGCCTACAACTCTGCAAATTAAGAGTCACAGTTCTCCTCCCATTAACTTAAACGGTGGTACTGCCTCTGGTTTCTGTTAGTCTCCTCGTGGAGAGGGACAGAGTTTTCTTGTGGACAAAGACAGTCTCCTCATGGATTTTTTTTTTTTTTTTTTTTTTTTTTTTCAAAATGACAAAAAGAAAAAGACATCTAAGTATATTCGTATCTTCTCTTCTGGATCAAGACCTAACCTGATGTCTTTAACCCTTAGATTAGCTCTTTACCACCTTGCACCTTGTGTGTAATTGCAGATATGTGCTACCAAAGTAATTTCCTGCTCTCTCTCCTTATAGGAGTAGTCTATACAGGCTTGACACCTATATTAACTGCTGGTAACAGGGAGCAAGCAATGAATCCCATCTCTGTTTCTACTTTTGCCTGCTGGACTAACATATTACAGCCGTTGTTTCCATAAAAATAAAGATCAGTGGGGTGAAGTGTGAGGTTTGGGGAAATAATAATCTACTTTTAGCCTGAGAGTAGTTCATATCCTAAAGAAAGTTGCAACCTGATTATATAACACCAAACCCCATCAGAAGATCCAAAATGATGCTCTACAATTGCTTAAGATGATATTTTTTTTCATGACTGCCATACATTTGAAAGAAGTGTTGCCTGGTTTTCCCCTTATGGAGATACCTAGCGTCACAGGGGGCTATAGCAGCCAGAGACCAAGCCAATTGAGGCCAATTTTTTTTGAATCCTGGGAGAAATTCCCATTAGTTTCAGCAAGAGCAGGTTCAGGGAGATCACAGGTGTCCGTTCTCTGGCCCTTTCCCCCCCCATAATACATCTCTCTTGACCTCGGTGATTTACTCCAATATAGCTGAATAGATAGATAGGCTTGCAATACTAAACCTTTCAGATCTCTTGTTCTGTGCCTTAGCACCACTCTCTCCATGGGTTTAAGAGAAATCTAACTTTAAAAAAATCACCTGTTAACTTTTCTAACAGCAATTTGTCAAAGTAATTGGGAAAATACCAGGCAAATCATTTGTAGCCAGTTCTTGTGATAGCATCTTAAAATCAGGCAAAAGAAAAGATGTCTGTGAGCCAGAAATCAAGGCAGGCTATGCTATACACTTTTTTCTTCTATCATATTTTATGGTTTTGTATTGAACTAATACAATTTCTCATTTGTTCTGTTGATGCAGAACAATTCCTGATGTGGAAATTAATCCTGCTTCCATTTACACCAGTTTAACGCTAGCTAATTTCCCAGCTTCAGAAGAATTACTTTTGATTTACATCACTCTGAATAGGCATAGATTTCAGCCCTCGTATCTCCCCGTCAGTTGCAAATCAAACCTGTGCCTACCCAGTGGGGCAAAAATAAACAGGATGCGTTTGCAGAATCACCAAAATAAAATTACCTCCTTTCTTCCCTCATTTTTTTTTTTCTTTTAATTCTCTCAGTATTTACATACAAGAAGAGCTTAAATCAATTCACAAGTGCGGTTTCTACATTAAATACTGTCCTTCCAGTCTCTTGCACGCAAAAGGAAGTGCCCTGAATACGTTGACTTCTCTGGAATTAAAGTACAAAAACTCTTTGAACGGGTTTAATTCATTTCATTTCGCTGCGGCTGCCGCAGGGCAACCCCAGAAAGATGTTCCCACATGGAGGAGGTCCCCTAGGTGTTACGAGCGCGGCTATGGACGGCCCGCAGCCCTGCTTGCCGCAGCTCAGACAATGCCCGCCGACGAAACGGCCCCGCTTTGCCTCCTCCTCTGTGCCACCGTCTTCGTAAGGCTTATTCCTGATTTACACCCGTGTACTGAGAGGAGAGTGGAGCCAGGGTAGCTTCCCAACAGTTACCAATTCGGTCCAGCCCGCCCACGTGCGACCACCGGCCTCCTTCCCGCCGCCGCTCCGCGCTGCCAGCAGCTCACGCCTGGCGCCCGACCGGGCGCTTCAATTCCTCCTCAGGAGCTGTCGCGTTCAGCGCCACTCCGACACGCCGCCCTGGCTAAAGGTAGCCAAAAACGTTGAAGATTGGCGGGGGAACGGCGGGCTTGGTGGGGATGGGTTTCAAAACCACGGGCCTGTAGAGTTTCTGCCCCGTGCCGTCAGCTTCCTTGCAGAAGGGCGGCACCTCTGCCGGCAGCGCGGCCACGCTCTTCCTCCACGGCCCCAGCCCCGGGAAAGGCGACGGGGGCAGCGTGCTCGGGGGCTGGTACACCCCTGGCCCAGGGCAGGGGAAGGGGCAGCAGGTCCAGGCACCCACCCGGCCCGAGAGGAGCCCGGCAGGGTCCTTCTCCCCAGCGCGCGGGGCAGGCTCAGGGGGGCTCTCCGGGCCAGCAGCGTCCGGGCTCCGTTTGCTTTTCTTCCCCTCATAGGGAGGAGGGTCTCTGGGGGCCAGGAGCCCCTCAGGGCTGGCGGGAAAGGCCCTGGCTGGCAGGCTCTGGGCCGGCCGTGGCTCTTCCCAAAAGGAGGCGGGGAGCTGCCGCTTCCTCATGGGCACCTGGTCCGGCCTGGTGGCCTCGGGATTTTGCTCCTGCAAACCCCCCTCCCCGGCGAGGCTCTCCTCCGCCTCGGCTGCCTGCAGCCCCTTCTCAGCAGCAGCCCCGCCGGGGGGGCTGGGGTCGGGTGCCTCAGGCTGGGGGCCGCGGCCCCGGTCCTCCGCCCCCCTGCGCCAGCCACACTCGGGGGGTTTGCTGGGGTGGCACCGTGGGATCCGTGAGTACTTCTGAGAAAACCGCTTGAGCTGCTTCTGCAAGTATTTTCTGTGGTCAACCGACCGGCGACAAGGAGCCGATTTATCCAGAGCCGCTTTGATGTCACTGGAGGCCAGGTTGACAAAGTTCAACAGGGTTTTCACCTCGCTGTCCGATGCCATCTCACTGGATGCGCCGTGCAGGGTTGCCCATGAAAAGTTTATAATCCCCCCCTTCGGACAAACCTTGGCAAACCTGCAAAAATGGGACGGGCAGACTTAAGAGCGCGAAGCCCCCGGTTCAGACAGCGCCAAGCGAATGGAGGGAGGGTGGAGGGGGGGGGACACGACACATGTCAAACTTCTCAGCCACGCAAACAAGTTGTCCATCAGCTTGCCTCCGGGCCGGCAAACTCCCGGCGGAGCTGCCGCGCACCTGCAGCCCACCGCCCTGCACGGCTGCCCCGGCACGCACCGGCACGGGGACTGGCTCACGATTGCCAGCCAGCCCGGTGCCTAATCTTATTAGATAGTGCTTAGAGGGAAGAAGCCGGGGCGGCCGCTCCCACCTCCCTGCAAGCAAGCGCGGACACTCACCCGGCGCGCGGCGGCTTTTCTCGCCGGTGCTGGTGGCTGCGGCGTCGCTGCGGAGAAGAGCCCCTTCCCCGCTAATCTCGTTAGGCAGGTTACACACCGCCAACCTCGGCGGAGGCGGCCAGGGCCCGCCAGTGTTTGGACGCAGTTTAGCAAGCACTTGAGCAAGCTGAATGAATATCGACTCTGGCGAGTTCGGGGCTCTCCCAGGCCAATCAGAAGCCACTTTGCCAAATACAAAGCATCCCAATCAGGCATCAGCCTCCCCTCCTCGCATTCTTTGCCATCGCAAATTGTCGCCATGGGGACAGCCACAGAAAGACAGCTAATAAATACAATAATTTCCTGGAGATTTTGACCATTCTCCCCATCCTCTTCACCTCTGCCGAGGCCTTTCTTTTTAAAAAATGACACAGTCTGAAGTGAAAATGCTGAGGATGAGTTGGGAAAGTTTAGATACCCTTTTCTCTGCACTCCCTGAAGCTGTCTGGGGGCTGATACTAGCCATGCTTCATTGGCACAGGACAATGTAATACGGGGGGACAGGGCTAGCCTACTTTTAACCGTTCCCCATCAGAGACCCCTTTTTTTTTTTTTTTTTTTTTTTTAAGAGGAGGATGATGTCAGAAAAAGGTAGGAAAGGAACAAATCTCTAAAGAGATGTGCAGATATCCATGGAAAGGGAGCTTGAGCGCTCAAGAATCTTGTCTTTATGTTTGCCCCCTCAATTGAGTTACACAAAAGCTGAATTACCCATTCAAACTACCCGGACAAAAGGATGGAGTTGGATAGTACTCTTGCATCTGTAGTCAAACAGTTAGAGACTTAAATCGAGTCGTCATGATGGAGAAAGAGTTAGACAAAGCCCATAGAATTGCCATCAGCAAACATTTTCCTGTGTCATATTAGTGGGTCTCCATGACTCCCCCTGGCCTGGGGACAATAGCACAAGTTTGCACACTCGACTACTGTCACCCTGCCAACGCTGGCAAGGAGCAGAAACAGGACAATCCTTTAAGGGGAAAGCATGCCCGCTGCAGGGAAGGTAAGAAGAGAGGGAAGAAAAGGCGTGTGAAATGCTAATTGAGCTGCTTCCTTTACTGATCCAGAGTTATGCGAGCCCTCCGCCTTCTCGCAGGCTTGTCCCTAAGGGGTGGCAATAACTTAATAGCACGGTAAAACCGAGAGCTGGAGGAAGAGGAGAGGAGAAGGGCTGCCCTCTGTGCGCGCTGGACACGCCAAAGGCCCAGAGCTGGCAGCAGTCTGTGTGCCAGCCTGGGACCCGCTGCCTCCCACAGCAGGAACAGCGCTGCTCCTGCTCTCCAGCCCGCGTCAGCCTGCGGATGGAAGGAGTGGAGAGGGGCACAGGGTGTTTGCACCCATCATCGGGGAGGTGCTGCCGGGTCTGGACCAAACACATGCCCTAGGGAAAGCAGGGACTGAAGTCGAAGCCATTTTGGAAGTAAAATCTACCTTCCTGATGTGAGGCATCAAAGGCCTCAGCACTGAGGGCTGAAAACAGCTACACTTTAAGGTTATTTTACTGTATTTCTATTACTCCAATTTTTTCTCGTAGGAGGACAAGATGCAGACTGTGCCATTATACCAAACCCTGGGCAGAGGCCTCAGGGATGACTCCTCAGCATCCCTGTACTGGTGCACTCAGTGCTGACATCCCTATTCACATCATTTCTCCCAGTCTGGCCTGAAGCACATGCACTGGTGCCCAGGCTCAGGTGTTTCAGGTCTAGGGAAACCACAGGACATCCTGCTGCAGAATGCGGTGCAGAGCCTTTGTCACCACGGTGGGCTGTAACACGGTGGCTGATTTGCCACCACAGACATGCCTCTCTTCTCCCAGTTGCTAGTTCAGAAGCAGTTCATTCCCTAGGAGATCTGGGGCAGCTAGCCCTGCCTGCACGCTCTGCCATCTGCCTCATGCCAGCATGCAAATGTCTGTGCAGTCTTCTCCTTTTGGATCTTTTGAGGGAGGGCAACTTACAGTCACCTGCTTGAGCATCTATTTTGGGATGCGCTAGCTGGGGCCTGGCCTCTCTGTGACCCGACACAGATCCTTCTGTGCAGCTGAGGCTACAGGGAGAGGTTTTGTCTAGCTCATTGAAAGAGATGCACACCAAGGGATGGCATCTCTGTTTGCAGGAACAAACTGCCTCCTGTTCTTGAGCTTTTGAACACAGCCTGGACACCACGTTGCACAGCACAGTCTCCCAGTAGAGCTAGCTGGTTGCTCAAGGGGGTGAGAGGGAGAGACATGGGACAGGTGCCTGGGAGCAAAGGATTATCTCAGGATGTTAATGAACTGTGTCCTCAGAGGCCTGGAAAGCTCATGCTGTATATTCTGAGACACTATATGCAATCAGAGGGGCTCAAGACCCTGGCCTGTGCTCTGAAGCTGAACGCTAGTGGGTCAGTTAGATTGAGGAGGGTGGATATGACTTGTCTGCTTACCAGAGGCTAAGGGAAACCTGGTCCTACAACACACCCATTGCAGAAGCCCTCTCCAAGCCCCCAGGCCCCAGCCGTGCCCGTCCCCTCCTGGAAGGATGCTTGCCCAGGATGTGGTTCCTCAGGCACCGTGTGTCAGCGGCGGAGGAGCTCCCCAAGCCTTGCTGAGCTCACTGCTCCGGCATGCCATTCCCCTGCAGCTGGGTAACGCTGCGGAGCTGGAGGGGAATGAACCGGCGAGCAGGATTTAAAAACCAGAGCAACCCACCCTTTCAAGGTCAGACTCAGGTTGAGCTGCACAGGGTTTTCTCTAAGAGGCCACCGGAGCCCTTTTGTTCCTCTCTGCTCTCACCATGTTCATCCCAATGTACATGTGAAAGGAACAATTAACAATAGGGCACTCCTCTCCGAGGATCCAATGCACTTTGAAGTGTCCACCAACCAAAGGCTCGAGAATGATACATCATTTTCCACTGTGAACGTGTCAAACTAGTACAGCAATTGAAAAAATGTCTCCACATGCCTTCCCAGCATGCAGACAGGGACCAGCTGGAGAGCCACTTCATATCCGACATGTCATCCCCTGACAGCTGTCTTCTTGGGAATTTTTGGTATGTGAAGTTTTCTAACTCCTTTTTTTAAGTAAAGCACTGGAATAAATCTGTTCACTTCAAAGTTGCAGCCAGGCCTCTCCTAAACATGCAGTATTTCCTTCAAGACTGAATAAAGGAGAGAGAAAAGAAGATTTTCTTACACAAAAATACCTGGGAAGTGTTTTTAAAGTGTCACTTATTGTAAGGGATGTCAATCTTTAACCACTTCTACACCAAAACCTCCCACAGCTTATTTCCAGGCCGAGGGGCCCATTCAGCAAAGGTATTCCAGCATCAGGCTGGCCCGGACCGTGTGAGCAGACCCCCTAACCACAGTGCACACCATTAACTGAGGTAGAGAACCCTCCACTGCAAGTGCCCTGAGCAGTTCAAAGAGCATGAACACCCAAATCACTGCAGTTATTTTAATAGTTTGTAAAGCAAAGAGCAGCTCAGCGAACAGCTGAGTGGTACAGAGATGATACAGAAGTCAGTTTTGACACTACTTTACTCAAACTTCCTTTTCCTTCCCTAAAACGGAGCTTTTTCTCCATCCTAGCCTGAGCAACACATGTTGTCACAGGGTTCATCCCACTGTCAGGATAACAGCTCTGCATATCGCATGGCACACTTTCTGGCCAGGACTGGACTGAAATCAGTCCTCAGTGGCTTCTTACCCTCCCTGATTCGGGGTGTCTCTTTGTCCCAAGTACACGCCTGTATGGTGAGCACTGTTATCCTCCATCTCTTCCCCATGGTTGTTAAAAATAGGCAGTCTCCATAAAGCAACACAAAACCTTTCAGATTTTTACTCGAAAGATAAGGCTTCTTAACAACAGTCAAAAGATTTTCTTTAGAAATTCCCTAGAGGTTTTGCTTGGAGGAGAGGAGAGGAGAGGAGAGGAGAGGAGAGGAGAGGAGAGGAGAGGAGAGGAGAGGAGAGGAGAGGAGAGGAGAGGAGAGGAGAGGAGAGGAGAGGAGAGGAGAGGAGAGGAGAGGAGAGGAGAGGAGAGGAGAGGAGAGGAGAGGAGAGGAGAGGAGAGGAGAGGAGAGGAGAGGAGAGGAGAGGAGAGGAGAGGAGAGGAGAGGAGAGGAGAGGAGAGGAGAGGAGAGGAGAGGAGAGGAGAGGAACAATTTTTCATTGTTTTGTGGAAAATTTCAACTATTTTCCCCATTTGGGTCACAATCCTGTGAGTCCTTGTTGAGCCTAATCAATATGCGCTTTATAGCAAAGTGAAAATGGGGCTCCAGGTGTTTTGAAACATGATAAGAAAATAAGCTGGAAAATTCCCAGATGGGCCACCTATGAATCATCCCTTTTCTTTGTCCATTAAGGGCATATAAAAGCAAAGATATTTCAGTTGCATGATATCCTTTCACTCACCTGCTGTTTCCTAAGCTTCTGCTCTGCCTTCACACTCAGAAAAAGCGAGGGCAAGGGTTTTGAGGCCAGCCAGGAGCCTGAGGGAAGGTGATGATGGCTCATGGTGAAACCAGAAGTATTGGCCCAAAGAGAAGTATTGGGTTGGAGGAAGACCACTAAAGCTCTTCCTCAGGGGTCCTGATTTTTGATTTCTTGTTGACAGTGACTGAAGTGGAAAGATGTTAATGATGCACTGATGGCATAAAAATGGGAGATGTTATTTAACATCATACTGCAAAAACTGTGTGATCTTAGGAGTAAACGCACTGGGAGAGGAGAGGATCGTGGTAACTCTGGTCCACACACCTCAGGCACTGATAGCAAGAGTTTCTGCCACAAGGAGAGATGTCACTGTCTGGAAACGAGAAGGTCATAGGATTAAAATGAATCCCCCTCCATCCAGTCTGACCTTTGAAGGCAAGGCACTGCTGGTGTCCAGGCCTCCAAACAGGTTGTCCTCTAGACTCAGAGCCTGGATCATGAGCCTGCTTATTTCAAGACCTGCAGTTTCATTAGAAAGGGAAAAAAAACCCTCTATGTTACCCTCATAAATATTTCTGAGGATGAAATTAATCTGTGA